GTTAACTAATGGTTTGAACTCTTATGCATCCTAAATTAAACAAACTGAGAACATGGTCCTTTCCATTCATTTTTCAACAAAAACATGTAAAATGAAGGATATTCTTCTATAATTCTTTCACTGCCTTTTTTTTTATCATTTTGTCTACCCAGTCACAAAATTGGATGATATTAAACTGTGCATCTCCCATCTCTATTTGCAATTTGCTAAAAGGTACCAGCATATTACATCTTAATCCCCAAGCATAAGACTATATTTGGATCAATAATAAGGGACAAAATGAAAGAGAATGGAATAATACTAGGTTCTACTGTTTGGATTGTTTAAATTTATATCAAAATGAATGGAACCTGATGGAATGTGTTGCCTTTCATTTTATCCAATATCCCTATTTTTCTTCCCCTCCAATTTGCAGCTATATATCGAAAACCAGTCAAGTTTTTCAATCAATCATAAGAATATCTATACATTCAAAAGTTAGCTTTGTTTCATTCCATTCCACTCACTATTAGATATCCAGACATGGTCTGATTGTCCAGAAAATCAGAACCCGAACCAAGAAACGAACTATATGCAGACATGGCAACCAATACACCAACTGCTCTAAATTCAAATTTGGACCTGTCAAACCAAATTTACATGTCCGAATAAACCAAAAGCTGACTCGACAAGTATTATGCATATATAGATACAACATAAATTCAATATAATGATATGATTATTCTTAAAATACATTATTCAAACTAAGATTGAATCTCTTGGACATCACTAAAACCAAAATAGACGTTACAAATCATTGTCATCATAAATCACCACTATATTGCCTACAAACAATTACAATATCAACCTCGTTTCTTCCTAAAGAGGATACATTTCCAATTCCCGAAAGAGTATGTTTCTACGTCTCTCACAGACCCATTGGCAACCAAATACAAAGAAAAAGAAAGTAATATCAGCCACTTCAAATTTAACAGTATCAATATCAAATGCATATCCAACAAAAAGATGGAAAGCATTTCCAAGCATTAGTGTTTTAGTTTCGGATTTGAATCCACTCGTGGCATTAGCTAACACAATATGGTCACGTTAAAAAAAAATAAGACATTTTTTTTATCAAATTGAATTAGTAAGTCCTACAACTAAACAAAATGGGTCCTTATTTAATAAAATTAGTATTTTTCTCTATCTAAAATCACAATATCACGTGGTTTAATAACTTAACAATCACAATGTTATGCTCGCATTACCTGCAAGGTGAAGGACGCAGGCCATTCTATGAGGGGGAACGCACTTGGGGACGAGAAACGCGACCCTTGCATTGTGGCTTTCAGGTGGCAATGCAGCGAGTAATTGGTGATCGCAAGGTGTTCTAAAAACACCCTCTCTCAAACGAGCGGTTCCAGTTTCCCAAACGGTTCTCCAAACGGGTCGAACCGAAGTTAGAGGAAAGTTGCTGTAACTCTCCAATTCGGGGAACAACTGCTGAATCATCTTCTCCAACATCTCAAGCTTGGTTCCACCCCACCCTCGCGAGAAGAACGGCGTGCTCATTCTGCTACGGTGCACCAACGCACCGTAGATGTGGTCCAACACGTAATGGAGCATTCCCAGATTCATCATCACCATCTTTCTTTCTTCTTCTTCTGATGATGATGAATAATTAATAATAACAGTTATATTTGAACGATAACAAAAATTGTCACAAGGTCATGAAGGAATGGAATCAAAAAGGAGAAGAGTGAAAGAGTTTGGGATTGACGGAAAGAATAGAAGGGAAAGAGGATATAAGAGAGAGAAAGTTGTTACCTACTAATACTAATACTATGACTATCCACAGAAAATCTGAAACTGTGGGAGAGGGGGATTCGGTGAGATATATCGCCCATTGTTCTTCACAATTACGAAAAGGGAAGGAGATAACAGATTTATGTAAAAATTAGTTAAAATAGTATAACTTTATTTTTATTGGATAAGTATTTGAAAAACAAAATTTAAATAAAGTAATATATTATAAATGTCTATAAATATGAAAAAAAAGAAGAAGAAATAAACAGTGTTTTTCTTTTTTAACTTCTGAAGTAACAAATTTTGACATTTCAATTAAGTTTAGCAGAATATGATGAATAAGATAGCTGAAAATTTTTTCTTATTATTTTTTGTTTGTAGATAAAAAATATTTTAGTAAAAGATAATTAATATAAATAATATAAAAATTAAAATAAGCAATATAATATTAAAAATAAGGAAAAATAAGGGATTTTTTAAAATGTTAAGAATAAAAAATTATAAAAATATGGTTTTTTTACTGTAATAATATAATTTTAAAAATTATAAAAATACATTTAAAAATTAATTATTGATATAAGTAAATTTAATAATATTTAATATGATGATCCTCTTTATTTTGATATGTACATAAAAAATTGACACATGATACGTTTTAACGGATGCTACCTTTTAACGTTGGAATTTAAATTTAAAATTTAAATCATAATTTTCTTCTATTTTTATCAAATTTTAAATGAAAATTAAAAGTTTTAGTTTTCATGATATATTAATTTAAGTTTGAATTTAAAATTTAAGTTTTTCTTTCATTCTAACAAAAATTAAAATTCATTTTTCTCTAACATTAATTAAAGTTTAAATTATAAATTAAAACTTTAATTTTTCTTTTTCTTTTACTAAACCTTAAGATTAAAAAATTTGAGCTTTGATCAAACTTAGTCGAAGTAGGAAGGAACTAAAATTTAAAATTAAAATTGTAATTATTGTGAGAGAAAAATTAAAATTAAAATTAAAATGAAAGGAAAGTGAATTTTGAGTTTAAATTTTAAAATTTGGTCAAAATGGGAAAGAAATTTAAATCTCAGCACTAAAAAGTAGCATATATCAAAATACAAGTGTTACATGTATTATTTATTCAATATTTTTTAAATATCGAAAAAATAGCCTTTAATGAAGGATACATATACTATCATGTATTAAATACTTAGAGGGGAATCAACTCAAACATAATTGCCTCTAACAGAGGATACATGTAGTCTCTTGCATCATAATTATCTAGTGTACATGATCTCTTGCATAAAACACATTAATCAACAACAATACTTAGAAACATTATTTTCTTCACTCTTCCAATTGTAATACAATATAGAGATTCTTATATTTCATGTTTCTTTGCGTATCTCCATCATTTAGATAGTCTACGTCTCATTTTGGTGTCACAATACTTGGAGTAAAGCAATGTCAGATGCTCTCAATATCAACAATAAAGTAGGCTTCATCTACGCTTCTTTCGCTAGGCATGATGATGCTAATCAACTACTCTTTAACCTTAATGCTTGGCAACATAGCACTCATATTGTCACTTCTCAGAAATCACATGATTGACATCATAGATTGCATTTTTATTAAATGTCTTAAGGCACATATAAAGAGAGAAAATTAAAGGATACCATTGATTTTACTAAATTTATCTTCATTTTGTTAAAATATTGATATCTTTATTAAGTTTTTATTAAAAATTGGTGCACATATAGTAGCTAGCTAACGTGGATTGGGTTAAAAAGATACAAAACAAATTGAACCATTAAAATAATAGTCCAAACTCAGCTCTATATAAGTAGCAGGTTTATATAGGCAGTCTACTTTATGATATTTTTATTTTTTTTTTCTTCTAAAAAAATATTTTAATTAAAAAATTGATTTTTTTTACTTATCACACTTGAATCCATTTTATAAACTACCCAGAATTATAAAATAAAATTAAGTTATATCATTCATAATTTCATATCAAATTTTATTTCTAACAAAATAATTAAATAAAATAAATTAACAAAAGTTAATTTAAATGTCAAATAATTCAGTATCCCTTAATTAAAGTCTCAAATTCGAGTTTTCACATATAAAAAAAGTTTACATATAACAAATGTTAATCACATGGTACAATTGATATTAGAAATTAAAATAAGATAATATACTTAAAAAGTAAAATAAAATTCTCTATTAAATTAGTGAATAATTACGTCAACCTATAATTATATTTACTTAGAAAAAAAAAATATAGACTACAAGTAATCTTTGGACTACCCCTTATGTTAAGCTCTCATTTTTAAGTTAGCTCATTGATTATGCCTATCTAACCGATTCTAATTAATTTATCATACATTAAAATTTGAAATATAGTAAAATTAAAAATTTATGGACTCGGTTTCTACCTAACTCGGCCAAGAATATAATTTAAAATAAATAATTTCCTAAATTATGACAATAGTAATTTAGCTGTCCGCTAACTACTTACTTGACCTAGTATTTATTATGTTGAATATAATATTTCAAGGCCATCTATTTGAAATTGTAGCAATACAAGTCATCAATAAACAAATGAAATCTAAAATATGAGGAAAAGTTACTTCTAAGTCACCTTCATGAATACAAGTAATTTGAAGCGCAAAAAAGTGAAAATGCAAACTTTTTATTATTTTATTATATTAGTTATTTGTTCAAAACCCTTGTTTACGGTTGACATTAATAAATCAATATAACTTACAATTAGTTGAAGACTTTGACTTCTTAATTAGTTGGATAAATTTGGCTAACGCAATTTAAGTTCACATGATTAACTAAATAATTAATAAATATAATAATTGATACAAGTTAATCATTTAATAAATTTTTTATAAAAGGTAAAATTAATTAACTCAATCTTAGTTTGAAAATTTTTAAATATTATGTAGCTTAATTTTATAAAAAATTAAAATTATTAAATATTTTATCATATTATTTTATTTTAATAAATAATATATTTTAAAATATGAATAAATATTAAAATTTTAAAAATATATAATAATAATAATAATAAAATGGATCGAAGATGAAAAAATGAATTAAAATTTTTTGTACACCAAGGGCATAGCCATCGTCATCCGTAACCTTCTTCCTCTTCTTTCTCTAATTAACAACACGAAGCTACCTCTCAACCAAGACGAAGACCATTCAGACTTCACGATTTGCCTCAAGAGAAAAAATCGAGTTATGGCTGAAATTGAAGGCTATGTTCAACTATTCTTCCTCTGGTTAATCTCCACCATCGTGGTTCGGACCATACTAACCAAAATCAAACACAAGCGACGTCATCCTCCAAGCCCACCCTCACTCCCCATAATTGGACACCTTCACCTCATCTCCCACTTACCCCACAAAAGCTTCCACGCTCTCTCCACTCGCTATGGCCCCATCATTCAACTCTCCCTCGGTTCCCTCCAGTGCGTCGTCGTTTCAACCCCCGAAATCGCCAAACACTTCCTCAAAACGCATGAACCCTCGTTCTCTAATCGCTTCGTAAGTTCCGCGATTCACCGCTTATCCTACGGCTCCAAAGGGTTCCTCTTCGCTCCCTATGGAAGCTCCTGGAAGTTCATGAAGAAGATTTGCATGTCGGAGCTCCTCGGTGGGAGAACCCTTGACATGCTCCTACACGTGCGGGAACAAGAAACGTTGAGGTTCTTGCGCGTGCTGGAAAGAAAAGGGAAAGCGCGTGAGGCTGTTGATGTTGGTGCGGAACTCTTGACGCTTACGAATAGTGTTATTTCAAGGATGACTATGAGCCGAACTTGCTACGATAATGATAGTGATGCGGCGGATGTGAGGAAGATGGTTGTAGATACTGTTGAGCTGGCGGGAAAGTTCAATGTGTCGGATTTTGTTTGGTTCTGTAGGAGTTTGGATTTGCAAGGAATGAAGAAGAGGGTTGAGGAGATTATGGAGAGGTTTGATGTGATGATGGAGAGGGTGATTGAGGAGCATCAAATGGAAAGGGTGGAAAGGAAGGAAAGTGGTGAAGGTGAGAAAGTGAGGGATTTGCTTGATATTTTGTTGGATATACATGAAGATGAGAGCACAGAGGTGAAATTGACCAGAGAGAATATCAAGGCTTTGATCATGGTAAGTGATTCTTCTAACTTCAATAATATTCTCGATTTAACTTACAGTTCAAGTTAATTATAAACATTCTAATGCAGTATTAACATTCATTTAATCTTTTTAATCTCTGTTTTCATATTAGATTTTTCATTTTCTTTCTTATTTATCTCTAGATGTATACACTCATAGGTCATCTATAAAATATTTTTCCAAAAACAAAAAAAATGTTGGGTATTGTTTTGATATTGTTTACAACAATTCAGAGTCTGACTCTGAATTGCTTTCATGTGTGGCGCAAGTTTGCTTCTCTAGTCATGAATTTTTCATTAGCGAATATAGTTTAGGAAATGGGGCAAGGGTTGCATACCCGATTTTAAATTGCACTGCATAACTACAATAGAAGCTGCAATATTTTATATTTTGAGAGATTTTTGTAATCCCATTGTGGCTGGATCAATCACATCTGCTCATAATTTTAGTAATCCCAAAAAACACGCACATATATGAAGAGGAATCGGTATAATTAAATAGCATTTACTTTTATACTATTTAATAGCATTGTATTGAACAATTTTATTTTCAAATATATCATGGCATTATGTTTTCTATTGTATAGGTCATATGTGATAAATTTAAGATTAATTCCAAATGATTTAATATTATCTTTATTCTGATTTATTTATTTAGAGAGAAGATGAAATTTGTTTCTATTTGTTTGTTCATATATAAGTTTAAGACTATTAATCATTATCTTTTTATTTATATGTTTTCGCTCATATAAAAAGTTTTTAGAATAGTAAACAAAGTATTTACTATTTACATTAGTTGAGTAACCTAAAGGTAAAAAGTAAATCCACTAAAAAAATGATTAGAGAGTTTAACAAATAATTTCAATAAAGTGATTGAATTCCTTAATTTGTATAATTTCTTATCACTTTCAATAGATAAATAAGAATAAAAGTTGTATCCTGTGAATTTTGCTAATCAATGTCCTGCGAACACTTATTAAACCATAAACAAATATAAAATTTGTATTGGAAATCAAGTTGGCAGTGCATTACAAATCACTAAGAGCATACAACATTGTATTTTTTAATAAAAAAAAATATTTACTTTTAATTTTCTAACTAATATTTTAAGACCAGAGCTTAACATTTTAAAATATTATAATATTTATATTTTAAAAATTATTTATATTTATAAAAAAACAACATATTGAAAATGCATTAACAATTACAGCATGTGTACATGAATAATATATTTTTAAAAAAATAATATATATATATATATATATTCCTGAAATAAATGAAAATAACAGTACAACAGAATTACCATTTGCTAATGACTTAAAATTAGATTAGTCTCCGTTAACATAATGCATTTTTTATTAATGTATGACATATTATATTATCAAATAATTATATTGGCATAAAACATTAATATATACTATCAATAAATTAAATGTTAATATAAAATCTATACTAATGAAAGTTATCTTAAAAAGCACTAATAATTTTTATTTGTTAGGTAATAACAATACTTTTGTAAGACAACAATCTTTTAATTATTTCTTTATCGTTGTCAATATTTATAAACTTTTATACAAATGATTTAAATAATATATCATTATAATTCAAAAACTAAACCCGAGAAAATTATTGTTTCATATTATGATTACCGATGATATAAGAGCAAATATGTAACTTATAAATAATATAAATTAATCCTTCTTTTACGTGTACATGTTCATGTGTATTAAAAAGGAGAAACTTGAGTGTTTTAATTGCATTTTATTCACTTACACCAAGTGGATATATATTATCTAACAATTTATAAAATCTTTCTTTAACTTCGATGTAAAGTTTTATTTAATTGCATTGAGTTGCTTCACATAATTAAACTTATGCAATGACAGACCAATACATAATATAATATAATATAAGATAAGATAATAAGTCTACATCTGACACTCATGCGTGTATGTATTGACAAATTATTTTATGCCAGCATCCATATGCCCGAGACCAGATGCAAAGGAGCAGCAACCAATTAATTAACATCTTTTTCTAAACCTACATGGAATCTAATTTTATTATAGGAAAATATTTTTGCTGTATTTCTAGAAGTCATACTTAAACGTGTATATACGTGTGTATATGTATGTACGTATATAAAGATAAAAAGTAAGTAAAACAATAGAAATAATGAATACAAGATAACATAGGTTGTCAATTTTTTTTGGAAGTTTTGATAATGAAACTGAATTGGCATGCGCAGGACATATTTATGGCAGGAACTGACACATCTGCTATAACCATGGAATGGGCTCTAGCTGAGTTAATCAACAACCCTCATGTGATGGAGAAAGCAAGACAAGAGATTGATTCAGTAACAGGAAACAATAGATTAATACAAGAGTCTGATCTTCCCAACCTTCCCTACTTGCGAGCTATAATCAAAGAAACACTAAGGATTCACCCAACATCACCATTTATAGGGAGAGAATCATCTGAAAGCTGTAATGTTTGTGGTTACGAGATTCCAGCCAAGACATTGTTATTTGTTAATTTGTGGTCAATGGGAAGGGACCCCAACATTTGGGAGAACCCACTAGAGTTCAGGCCAGAAAGGTTTATAGGTGAAGAGAACCAATTACATGTGAGGGGTCAAAATTTTCAACTAATGCCATTTGGGACTGGAAGAAGGGCATGTCCTGGAGCCTCACTAGCACTTCAGGTTGTGCCCACTAACCTTGGTGCTATGATTCAGTGTTTTGAATGGAAGGTTAATGGACCTGTTAGCATGGAAGAGAAACCAGCCATGACAATTCCAAGGGCTCATCCTTTGATTTGTGTCCCTGTGCCTCGCTTGTGCTTCACCTTTGATGTTTAGGCCTTTGAGCAAATGCTAGAATTCATGTATAGAAGCAGCATTTGGAAGGACTTACCAGGAGTTTATAAAAATAGCTTAAAACTTTTATAAGTTATTTTAAAATATTTTGGTTAAGTGTTATAGTATAATTTTTCAAAATAAACTCTTTTCAACTTATTTTAATATAGTCAAATTTACAGTATAAATTTTCATATAATAAGAATTTATTGAATACACACTTGATTGAGAGAATAAAATATTGATTGGGCTGTATAATGCACTACCATGTCTTATAATGCAATACAGTGTGAGGGCATTGCATTGGACGCAAACATTAGTGCTCTAGTACACTTGAGCATGGAATTATTCGTTTACCTTTTCATCTTCTTTCGTTTGCTTCTTGATTTTCACTCTCTCTCTTAGCATACGAATCATATAAAAAATCAGATTCAAATTGAGACGAAGAATTAGGAACACAAGATGAACTGTCATTAATCACCAAAAAAAAGAAGAAAGAAAAAAAGAAAGAAAAAAAATAGAAAAGGAAAGGTGAAGGCTAGAAACCTTAAAGAAGAAACTACAAGAGTAGAAGGATACTTACAAAGAAGGCCCATTTTAAGAGAAGGGTAAGATCGTTTACAAAGGGACTCAACACATCAAGTCATATTATTGAAATATGGAGAAATCGAAATCGTTTAAGTTCCAAAGAGAACTCATGATATACAAAGGAAAAAAAAATATAAATTACACTCACGCTTATATTATTTAATATTTTTTTATAATTTAATCATAAAATCAATTATTAGATTACAAGTTCTAATCACATAAATTATATACGTTAAAGTTGAAATTGATTTGAACTTATATCGAAATTAATGTAACCTATAGTATTAAAATTTATGAAAATAAAAATTATTTAATAATAATTTATAAATATTTGATTTAGACAAAATTTAATGTAAATAATTTAAATAATATATAATTATAATTCAACGATTAAATTGATAAAAAATATTTTTTATATTACATTGTTAATATTATAAGAATGAGTATAATTTATACAAGTGTAATTTTATTTTTAAATTCAGTTGATAAACATCATGTTAAAAATAATAATTAAATAAATAAAATAATGCGTGAGTTACAGTAATAAAAAGTTGTAAATAAATGTGTAATAAGTTAACCATAATTTTTTAGTTAAGAATAATAACTTTTTTGTGATATTTTATATTATATTACTATTATAAATAATAAATTATATTCATGAATTTTGTATAATAATAAAAATTCTCTTGTTATTTTAATTTTTTATTCTTACCTTTAAAACGATGAAGTTTTCATCGCCGCAATTCACCACTGCGCCGCTAAGGACATGTCCGAACCTTTTGACTACCCTTCCATGCTTTCAGCTCCTGGTCCCGTTTCACCTGAACCTAAGTCCACACTCTCGGGCAACCACAATCTAGCGACGGTGAGTTCGTGGTAGTTTTCCGTCTAAGGAATCGTCAGAATTGAGTATTGAGAGTGATTTGATCCATGGAACCAAAGCACAGAAATCTCAAGCAAAATTAGAATTCGATTGAGAAACACGATTCGGATGAAGCGCAACAAGTTAGCGTAATTACAGCAGTGACTGACGATTCATGTTTTTGTAAGAAAGGTCACTGTAGAGCTTTAGTCACGTAGTATAAATTAATACCATTCATAAGTCGTAGACATTCAAGAGTTCTCTTGGTTAGTCATGATTTTAATTCATTGCATTAGACGAGGATGGCTATGCATAAAGATCAAGAAGCAAACTAAATCAACAATAAAAAAATTATGGGTTGTCCAATAATTGGAAATCCAATCCTTCTAGTTTGGAACCTTTTTATTTATTTTCTCTCTGTTCTTAGTCTATGGTATGGCAAGAAGAATTAGCATGGCATAGAAGGAAATGGCACGAGTCTTGCTTTTGGGACACAAATTAGAGGATGGGCTCTAGAAAGAATAAATGAAGGTCCTTCATTCATGTTAACGCTACCCCCATTCCCTCCATCTTCTTCACCCTGCCATTCAAAGCATTGAATCATAGCAGCAAGGGTGGTGTGAGCAATATTTAGTGCTAGTGATGTTCCAGGACACCCTCTCCTTCCACTCCCAAATGGCAAAAGTTGATAATGTTGTCCCCTAACTTCAACTTGGTATTTCATTCCATTCTCATCTTTGCTAAGAAACCTTTCTGGCATGAACTCAAGAGGCTTATCCCAGTGTTTTGGATCCCTTCCCATGACCCACACATTAGTGAAAACTTGTGTCTTTGCTGGAATATTATATCCAGCAATGATGCAATTCTCAGTAGACTCTCTCATTATAAACGGAGCCGGTGGGTGAAGCCTTAGTGTCTCCTTCCCTATGGCTTGGAGATAAGGAAAATTGGCTATATTTGATTCCACTACTATTTTGTCCTTGCCAATCACAGAGTCAATTTCCTTCCTTGCTTTCTCCATGATTGTTGGATGGTTAATTAGTTCTGCCAGTGACCATTCTAGAGTAACAGCAGTTGTATCTGTCCCACCAGAGAACATATCCTAAGAAATTATAAGAAAACATTGTTAGTCAAAACCATTTGTTAATCACATAAAATTTTATCAAACTTTCTGGATTGCTAAAGAAAGGAAAATAATAAGCAGACTCAACTTTTTCATCTCCCATGCTTGTAACAATGTTAATTTCACTGTTTTTTTTTAAATCTATGCTACCCTCTTAGATCTCTCCATTCATGGTGAAAAAAGAAAGAAAGAAAGAAGTGAAAGAAGGTATGAAAGAAACATTATTTTATAAGAGAATACAAATATTATTTTTGTACATACAAATACAAAAAAAAAAAAAAAATACACCCAAGAGAATTGTATACATTATAAAAAGAGAGAGAGAGAGAGAGAGTAAAATTGATAAAAGGTTTTATAAAGAAAAGGAAGAATATAAGTGAACATAAAAATTAGCAATGTTAATTTTACAGTAAACACTGCACACACAACAACAAAAATGTGAAAGAGAAATATAATGAATATATATATATATATATATATATATATATATATATATATATATATATATATATTGTAAGATGTTATAAAATATAAAAATATTGAGCTGTAAAAATATCATAACCATAAAAATATAAAGCCAATTATTCACCTTTTCTTGTTTAGTACCTTAGCATATTTACCAATTGTTGTTAAAATTATCATGCCCTAGTTGGGGTGTATCACAGTGAGTTGGTGTTCATATATTGTTTGAGGAGAGGATTATTACCGCCAAGAAGGCTTTAATGTTATCTCTTGTTATTTTGACCTCTGAGCTTTGATCTTCATAAATGCTCAAAAGAGCATCAAGTACATCCTTTGCCGCATCCTTTTTGGTCAATTTCTTTCTTCCTTCTTCATGCTCCTGAATGATACTCTCTATCATGGTGTCAAACCTGTCTCGAACCTTCTGTAGCCTCTTCCCTATTCCTTGCATATCAAATCTCTTACAAAACCAAAAAAAATCTGCAAGGTTAAACTTTCCACTCAACATGGCAGATTCTTTGATCCTTTCTGTCACCTTGTGAGCTTCATCATCGCTGTTAAAACAGCTTTTGCTAATTGCCATTCTCATCACTATGCTATTTGTTAGCTTTAAAAGCTCATCGCCAACATTCACAGGCTCACATGCTTCAGCTTTCTTTTGCATCATCTTCAGAAACCTATTTATCTCCTCTTGCCTAATGGGTAGGAGTTGATCCAGCATCTTCCCATTAAGAAGTTCTGACATGCAAAGTTTCTTCATGAACTTCCAATAGGTTCCATAAGGAGCAAATGCTAAATCAGATGAATTGTAAGTGAGATAACTGATAGCAACATTTGGAGGACGGTTAGAGAAGGAAAGTTCATGGGTTTTGAATATCTCTTGGGCAATTTCTGCAGAGGAAACAACAACAATGGGAGTGGACCCGAGATAGATATGAATCAAGGGTCCATAGTGATTTGAAATTTTCTGAAAAGCTTTGTGAAGGGGTGATTTTAGTAAGTGGAAATGTCCAATAACTGGTAAGGCAAATGGACCAGGTGGAAGGTTAAATTTTGATCCATTTTTTCTGAATATGGCTTGGAGCAATATTATTGAGGCTAGACAAACTAGGAATATTGGAATGTATTCTTGAATATTGTCCATTGTGTTGTCTATAATTTCAAAGCATGAAACATGCTTCAAAGAGGACTATTTATAAGGGTGTAAATTGTTACATTAATTTTGAATGGTGAAGGGTTCGTGTTGGGCGTGGGGAGTTAAATTAAAGATGGAGCATGATGTACATTTCTTAGTTGGAGAAGGCATTATGATGTCATGCAACTTTATTTTAGAGTTTAGACGGTTACACACTATTTCTCATATATCTTGTCTTTTGTGAACTAAAAAGAATTGGAGATGCTTGTAGAGTGGAAGGAATAATCGCCAAAACTAGCTAGTCTTGCTGGAGTTTCTACTGCAACTTTTACTACTAAGAATCTCTGCCCTGCTGCCTGAATATTAGACAGTTGGATATTTAGCTTATCTAAAAGAGGGAAGTTAAAATACAAAGTTATAATTTAGGATTAAAACAAATTAAATTTAAGGAGGAGAGATGAAATTATACCCATATAATTTATATAATTTTTAGATTGTCAATAATTTATATTAGATATTATTTTTATTGATTATATTATTAAATTTATTAAGTGTTGAAGTTAAGTATTTAAATATAATAATTTTTTTATTAAAAATCAATTTATTATATTGAAGATACAAAATTATAATACATACTCATGTTAATAAAACTATAAGTATATGGACATACTTTTTGCTTTGTTTACAACACTGACTTTTTTCCCCCATTGATTTTCTCTCCTTCATTTTGTGCAGATGCACATTTGTCCCTGTTTGCATGACTGAGTCCCCAATATCTTAATATGTCACCATTATCTAGCACATTAGTTCATTATATGCGTTACTATCTGTCACATTCATTGGCATTTAATACCTTTTTGCTTGCTGACGATTAACATTATTACGAAATTGAGTTATTGCTGTCTCTGTTGGTTTTGATTATTTACTTTTCATTTAAATTGTTTCCAAGCAATTGAAGTCATCATACAAAAATAAGTTTGGATAATATATTTACCCAACATTAAATAATCGGAGTCTAGACCAATCGTTCTTTTGCATCACTTTATTAGATTGTATATTTCTTTCTCAGTCACTTTGAACAGCACTTTCATTTAAAATTAGTTATTTCTCTTTGTCCATTCACCTCAATTAAAACTACACAAATAATTGACTAGTATTCTAATCAAATCCTTTAGCTCAGTCTAGCTAGTAACACTTAATAGCTTACAGGACTGATCTTTCTGTTTTTATTTATCAGGCTTACATTTTGCAATTTTTCAGTTAAACAACATTATACACTGACTGATTCATTTTGTAAAGCATATGCGCAACATATCTTCGGCATATTCGAGACTACAAATTTCAACTCGAATTAGACACAACTTTTACGTAAAATGTATTTAGTATCTCAAGTCTTGGACTGTTAAACTGAATCAAACTCTCCCCTGATGAATTTTTTTATAACCACACAGATTAATATGTAAAGTTTATGTGTCAAAATTAAAACTCTATGTATTAGCGAGCAAAAGTGAAACCCCAGATTCAAGACACTTGCTTTTTTCTCTTCATATATTTTTTTTGGGTGCAAATTTAAAACTCTTGAAATTCTTGTCGTCTCGACTGAAAAGTTGATGATTATCAATACTTTTATTTTACTAATTAGGGTATTTTTAAAAATTATTAACCAGTTTGGAATAAATTTTCATGAGACAAATTATTTCATTATTTCATTTTTCTACACATGTATTTTACCTCTATCCTAAGCTTAAAAACTGCTGATCTATTAACACGAGTTTGGCCTCTACATCTACAAAACTTGCGCGACATGCAATGAATGCAGAACAGTTTCTCTCCATGATGCAAAACTTTAGAACGACGAAGAAGAAGAAAATAAGAAAACATTGCACTTGTCTTCCCACTTTTCAGTTCATAAGCGACCCGAAAATTTAAGTACCATATAACCTGTGTGGTTTTAGTGTTAAACGGAGAAATATAGTTTCTAATACAATTTTGATCACCATAATAAATTTTCACTTCCTTCGAAATATAGTTAACCTGATTTTCAAGCAGACTAAGTTACCTTTCAATGACAAAGAGGTAAGAAGTCTAATATGTAACACCTTAATTTAATTTTCTAAATAAATAAATTTTACAAAATTGAGAATAATAAAATTTTCATTCAAACAATTCTCAATACACAGTTCAGTAAAGTATTTCAAAATAAAGATAGATTATAATTTATATCAAGTTATTGCTACAGGACTAGTTCAATTACATCAAAGTTTTTAAAGAAAATACTTTTTAAGCCCTATAGCAGTTTCATTTATCCTTTCACTAAACTCGGTGCTGATCGTCTTGGTCACCTGAAAAATAGATGTAAAGGTGAGTACTCTATATTATATCACACTTAAACAAGCATAGAGTCTCACCTTATCCATTCCATACATTTTCTAACTTATTTTAAATTATGCATCAACAAGTACAAGGCATTAATTCCATCATTTCATTCTCAACCACAAACAGGTACACTCACTGCACCATCAAACATTTATCATTTGACACTCACGTGGGCTCACTGCACGCTAGCCACGCTCATTGTGATACTGTGATAATAGATTTTCTGATGCTCTAAACCTCAGGGACTTACTCAGTTAACACCATGGATGATCGCCGAATAACCCCTACCTCACGGATACAACGTGCGTGGTCACGGGCCCCTTAGTAATGGTGTTAGTCAGAGGCTGAGTCAAGAGAAGAGCGTGTGGCCTGTGGTGCACTCACGCTCATTATTGGTGTCACCACCACCTTCTTTTTCCCAAAGTATTTCTATCGTCCTATCTTCCACACCCACGTGGGCTCACTGCACACTAGCCACGCTCATTGTGATACTGTGATAATAGATTTTCTGATACTCTAAACCTCAGGGACTTACTCAGTTAACACCATGGATGATCGCCGAATAACCCTTACCTCACGGATACAACGTGCGTGGTCACGGACCCCTTAGTAATGGTGTTAGTCAGAGGCTGAGTCAAGAGAAGAGCGTGTGGCCTGTGGTGCACTCACGCTCATTATTGGTGTCACCACCACCTTCTTTTTTCCAAAGTATTTCTATCGTCCTATCTTCCACACTCCAGTGTATCGCTGAACCATTCATAGTTTTTCAACATATTCAAACATATCCACATTCACATTCAACATACTATTCATGCACATTTCCAACCATTCAAATTAATTTTGCATCAAGCGATTTCATGTTAACACATAATTTCACCCACAATCCCAGTCACTTCACAATATTTAACTTTCACACACAACATGTATGTCATATTCAATCGCGTTACATTCAAACACACAACATTTATAACACGATTCCAAGTACAATCAAATCATTCTCAACACACTCACTATTCAATATCAACCACACAATTTTCATCACATTTCCTCACAAATCATGTTCAACATGAATGTACATCAAAACACACATATTCCTGCATTTCTTCCTAACCGCATTGCAATACATAGTCGAATAAACAGATTCAAAGCACAATGAGATAAGGTAGAGTCCCCCTTTACCTCTAATCAAAGACCCCATACAATCTAACGATAGAAAACGTCTCCAACGCAGTATCTTAACCTAAATACATGGAGCAAATCTATGAGAAACTGTAAAGAACCGAGAAAGGGTGGAAAAACATAAATCCTAACCCTCACACTTACCTCCAAATGCTCCAAACGTGATTACAACATTCAATCTAGCTCTCAAACGGCTTTAGAGGCAATTTAATCAGTGAAATAGGGCTGAGAATCGAGAGAATCGAAAGAGAGATGAAGAGAGAAGAGTAAGAATGCGTTTCTCGAACCCTAAACCCTTCAAATACCTCTTTAGTGGCAAAATCTAAGAGAAAACTGTACTTTGATTTCTGCAGAATCTCGCTATAGCGAGACTGCAACTAAAAAATATGTCCCTCTCTGTTGCCTTCTAGCTACAGCGAGAACATAACAGAATTGCCCCTTTCTCTCAGGACATTCTCACTACAGCGAGAATCCACTTGCTATAGGAGAACACCCCTGCACACACTTAGTCTATTTTCAATCAGTCCAGTACATCTAATCCCAATGCACAGTCTGTATCCACATTTACACATGTATACACATATATCCACGTCATTATATACATCAAATACACATTCAAATAGTAACCTACATATTTATATTAATAAATCAAATAATTATTATTATAAAAAAATTCAACGTTACATACTCTACCTTTCAATGCTCCAAGAAGACAAAAGTAAACGTTAGCCAAAGATACCAAATAAATTGCTCACGTGCAACTCTTTTAAACTTAAATATATTTTAATTATTTTATATTTTATAATTTTTTTTATTTTTAATTGATATGTGATAACTTTTTAATTAGCTACAATTATATTAAAGATAAAAAAAATTGCTAAATTTAAAATAGTTAAAAAATAAAAATAAGATCAAAATTTTATAAAAATATAGAAAATAATATATATATATATATATTTTTTTTTAAATTTTTTTTTCACTTTTTCAAGTTTTGCATGATGAAATACAAAATTGATCCTACGTTATTACGTGTGCCACAACTAGTTTCACATATGCAAAAAAGGTGAAATTTATATTAGCAGCGACACCTTTATAAGTAAAAAAAATATTCACATAAAATTATATGAAATTAAAATACTAAAAAGAATTAAAAATATTAATAATAAAATTTTAAATTTTCTTGTTAAATATATAACCTATATATATAAAGTACTAATCTTAGTTCTCTCCCGTTATGAACTTTTGTGTTAAAGATTTACACTTTAATTCATATTAATTAATTATATATACTTAAGTCCTAACAAATAAATCACTTAAATTAATTATCAAACTTATTTATACAGCCTATTTGAATAATGAATTAGTCAATTTTTATTAAAAATAAAATAACAATTGATTACATTCTACAAAGATTTATTAGATGATTTTAACATTCTCCTATCAATAAAATCAATTGCATAATTTTAATTAAAAAATAGTTTTTAAAATGACTATGGAGCTAATCACTAATTTCATAAGTTGGTCACTTTTAAAAAAAAATACATAATCCATGATATAATATCTAAAGATGATTATATCTAATTAAAATAAAATAATATCACATCATGACAACTATTATATATTTTATTAATATAAAATTTCTTTAGTTACAAATATTACTAACTCCATCTATCAATCATTAATATGAAAGGTAACAAAAAAATGACATGTAAATATGATTCAAAAGTCAAACTATCATCTTCTTAATCAGTTTCTATAGTTTCTCTCAAATACCTTAAAGTCAAAAAAATTATACAACCTTTCAAAAAAACTATCATACTCAGCTTCAAATAACATTTATCATTGTATAGTAATCCCAACAATATCAAGCTCTAAATATAGTGTTAGTCTAGACATAATAACTCTAATAACAGTAAGTTTTAGTTTGACAATTTATATAACAAATATACATGTATATACAAAGATATATGATAAAAAATGTATCATCAATGACTCCAAATAAAGAATAAATGTCAGCTAATTACAAACAAAAAAATTGCTCAAAATAAAAGGTAAAAAATGATAAAAAATGACATAATAAATAAACTCTCACTAAATAAGTATATTAAAAGAACTCTCAATTTTCATGTTCTCAACATACTTTTTAAATATCATAGAACTCAATCCATTGATTAAGGAATCATTTAACTTAGTTTATATGATCAACGACTACGTCATTTTTTTTTTTCACAATATTTTAGCTAGTTAAATACTTTCATTTTAAGTGCTTAGAACTATTAATTAGTAATTTATTATTTTTGTGTAAAATGAAATATATTATCTCGATAAATCTGCAATGATCTAATAAAATAATTATAATATAAAGTTGTCATTAAGTTTTTTAACCAAACAATAAGAGAGTCAACTACATAAACAATAAATTTTGCTTATATAATGGTGGCAAAAAGAGTCTATTTCTTACTTTTCAAGGATATGGAACCTCCAACTATTATAAAGATATATCTTAAAGTCGATTTCTCTTCACTAGGACACCTTCTAAGATTTGAATTTATATACTCCTATACACAACAATACTCTTCGATCCTTTGCAAGTATATGATTACTATTTATCTAGTGGTCATTACGAGAAATAGATTCATGTATAAAGAAAATGTCAACTATTAATACAATGTTAAGTCTAACAATTTATCTTACTAACCTTAAGATAAATACGCTGATAGGTCCATTTTCAACTAGAATTGTTTGAACTTTAAACATAAAAAATTTAGTGTTCATAGACACTACTATTTTTTTCTTACTAGAATAGAATAACATATATCCTTTAGATGATTTAAATATCTAATAATAATAATAATAATTATTATTATTATTACAATTTATCTTGAAATTTATATTTTTAGTAAGAGATTATATATATATATATATATATATATATATATATATATATATATATATATATATATTAATTGAACAACATTATACTTGAAGATGGTTGATTTTATATTTTTATTCTATCCAAAGTTCAGAAGAAGATTTAGAAACCTATTTATTAGAAATTCTGTAAAAAACGTAAAAAGGGGGAGGGAGTTTAAGCTTCACTCCACGTATATTATAACAAGTTACATCAACTTTTCATACTTAAACAAATAGAACATAGAAAAAAAAAAGTGAAACCACGTTGCTATCTAGTAAATTTTAAGATTAAGAAATTGTTTAAATAAGAAATGTACAGAACCATACACAATATATTTGAATTTAAAAATAAAAATAAAAATTATGTAATTGTCCAAATAAGAAACATACGCTACCACACAAATATAATCTTCTTAAAGATAATTGAATTGTTTTCTACTTCATTTTGTATCATTTGTTGAAATTTAGAGACAATTTTCATAAAAATAATATTTCTCAATACTTTCTTAAAATAATTAGTACACTTGTTACATTTGCTTAACCAAACAAAGCATAATATTAGTGTGTGATCATAGATCAAATTTTGGGTCATATAATAATTACAAGAATTAATTAGTAAAGACAATAATAATATTAATAATAAACAGTGGTAGCAATAATGATTTTATGTATTTTAAAAAATAAATAAATAAATATTTTACAATTTAAAAATAAAAGAAAATACTTTTTTTATTTTTAAATTGTAAAATATTTAATTTTTTATTTTTTAAATTTTCTTTTATTTTAAAATTTGAGGTAAAACTATTTTACATTTTATTAAAAATTATTTTTATTTTATTTTAATCAAACATATTTAAAACTTAAAGAATTCCAATCACTTTAAATAAACCTTAAAGTGCACGAAACTGCATTTTAATTATTTAATAAATTATTATATATATAACATCAATTTTTAATGATTCAAATAATAAAATTAATTAAATTATAGATTTTTTCAATTCATTCATAAATCTTATAGTCTAAAATAGAAAATTATTGTATTTATGTTAAGAATATACTCATCTTTTGTAGTCTTTCTTCTTTTTCTTGGTGTGACATCCTTTTAAAATCCAGATTCTCTTGTGCTATGACATGAAGGAGGATAACTGCAAAGACATTCTAATGGTAAAGTCAATGTTTGGTATAGGACAGTAAATGTTATTTAATATTTTAAAATAAACTCCTTACCAGTCATTTTTACTTTTTTTTATAGCCATAATACTGAGCTTATGGACTTTAATGGGTCAATCCTAAATTACTCTTTTGATTGTTTTGATAATTAATATTTTTTATTAATTAATTACCTTAATTAACTCATTAACTTACTTTGACGTGGGTGTAAGTATCCTCCATCCTTAAGTATGACAGAAGGAGTGTGAGTACTCTTTGCCTTGAAGCTTGGCTGAGAGAATATTCGATTTCCTTTATTTTTGGTAATGACTGAGTAATGTTTTATTTAATACAGTCTGTAAATTAATTTCCTTAGTTTTTATTTTCAACTTGTAAAACATATACAGTTTGAATATTATTCTCTTTAAAGAAACAGGAATCACAGGCACCGTTGTTCCACAAAAATTAGTCAAATTTTAAACAAAAATGGCTAAAACTAAAACAGTACAAGTCACAAACTGAAATCCAAATGATTCTTATTAACTTTTACACACAATTCATTCATTCTGCGTTCCATAAATTGGAGGGGAAGTTAAATTCTGTTTTTCCAAATTTCCATTCTAAAAGAGAATTCAAGCTCTTTTATGGAAATAAGTGTTTTTTTTTATATTGAAAAAATTATATCAAGGTATGTGTTATTTTAGTTCTCTCAGTTGCAATTGCTCACATTGAATTTATATAAGTTTCCAGATGTTTAAATTAATTCTTCTCCTTTTATCCAATAATTATTCAAAATATAATAAAGGTATGACATTTTATTGATTTATAAAAAAAATACAAAATATATTAAAGATCTTAATTTTAGGTTAAAGAACTTAATTTGAATGTATAAAAATTTAAAAATTAAAATGCAAATAATTAAAATTAAGAAAACCAAAATTATATGTACATTAATATATATGGACTAAAGGTGAAATTAAACTAAAAGAAAGATTGTTACGGCGAGTCTAGATTAGGCTTTTAACCATATTAATAATTAAAATAATTCATTGATGGATAACAAATTATTTTACCAAGGAATCACAAATATATGATTTAATTAGTGATTTCTTAATTTCTTAATTTATTCAAATTCTAAAATTTCAAAAGTTAGTGACGTGATCACTAATTAGTGATTAAAAGGATGGAAACTAATCATAGACCTCTAAATGGTTTTCAATAAATATTTAATTTTCAACTTGACTACCCTTGTTATTCATATGAAGTCCTACTTGGTGGTCCATGGATTAGAGGAGTAGGTAGTGTTTGATCTTCCTTGGCCTCACCAGTTTGTATGATTGGAATAATTAGCATTCACCCTTATTTTTATACAATGATGATTTACATACTAGGTTCAGATACATAGTGGACAGAAATAACAAACTAAAATAACTAATAATATAAAAATAAAGGTAAAACTAAACATAGACTCATAATCATTCAAACATAAATTTAAACACTCATAAAATCAACATTTCATGCTAACTTTACTCACAAGAAAGAGAAGGGTATTTCTTATTTCAATGCATAGATGGACTAGAACATGCACAAGCATAAATTAGACAAGAGGAAAATGATGGAGCCTAGCCACAGGGACACGTATTAGGGGATGTGCCCTTGGAAGGGCCAGTCCAGGTCCCTCTTCCATGTCAACAGTTCCATTCCCTTCTTCTCCAACTTTCCATTCAAAACACTGAATCATTGCTGCCAGAGTTGTAGGAATAATTTGCAAAGCTAGTGAGGCACCAGGGCAACTTCTTCTTCCAGCACCAAATGACAATAGTTCAAAATGTTGTCCTTTCAGATCCAATGGGCTCTGTCCCTCTTCATTAAGGAACCTCTCTGGCTTAAACTCAAGTGGATTTTCCCAGTAGTTTGTGTCCCTACCAAGGGCCCAAACATTTACAAATACAGTGGTCCTTGCTGGAATGTGATACCCATCAACATTACAATCTTCAGTAGATTGTCTCACCAATAAGGGCCCAGTGGGGTGAAGCCTCATTGTTTCCTTTACTATAGACTGAACATAGGGAAGGTTGGGAATATCTGATTCCTCTACCAATCTATTCTTACCAACCACTGAATCAATCTCCTGCCATGCTTTTGCCATCTTATCTGGATGGTTGATTAGCTCAGCCAAAGCCCATTCTATTGTAGTGGATGATGTCTCAGTTCCAGCACCAAATATGTTCTGCAAAATAGATAACCAATATCTTTATTTGTTTCCTCTTCCCTCTAAAAAATAACTTCAAAAACAAATTAAATGGTTCTTATATCAAAGTCACTATTAATAAAAAGGCATTGTTAATTACCATAATAAAGGCCTTGATATTTTCTCTGGTTAATCTAATCTCTGAATTTTCATCATCATAGATGTCAAGTAGAATATCAAGCAAATCCTTCACTTCTTCATCTCCATCACGGCCCATTTCCTTCTTCTTCCTTCTTGCATCTTCATGGTCCTTCATGATCCTCTCCATTATAGCATCATACCTACTTCTGACACTCTCAAGCCTTTTACCAAACCCTTGCAAATCCAACTTCTTAACAAACCACAACATGTCACCCAAGTTAAACTTCCCTGCTAACTCAGTCATTTCTTTCACCAACTCAATCAATTGGTGCCCTTCCCCTTCAACATCACAACACCTTCTTCTCAAAGCCATCCTTGTGATTATGTTATTGGCAAGCATGGCTAGCTCCTTGCCTATTTTCACCTCCTCTTTCAAATTTGCCTTTTCCAGCATACCCTCCAAAAATAGCCTTCTTTCCTCTACTCTAATAGGAAGGTGTTGGTGAACCATGCGGCTTCCTAGGAGTTCAGTCATGCAAAGCTTTTTGATGAACCTCCAATAAGGTCCATAGGATGCCGACGCAAAATCTGAAGAGCCATATGTGATGTAGTCCAGGTTGGTCCTTTTGGGTCGGCTTAGGAAACACGTTTCATGGGTTTTGAGGCATTGTCTTGCCATTTCAGGTGACGAAACAAGAACACAAGGTTTGGAACCGAACAAGAGGTAGACCAAAGGGCCATAACGAGATGAGATCTTGTGAAATGCTTGGTGAGGGAGCTTGGTGAGGAGGTAGAGGTGTCCCAATACAGGGAGGGCTCTAGGACTTGGTGGAAAGCGTGCATTGGTGCGAGATTTGGTGAGAATTATTACACGTAACAAGAAGATTGAAGCTAGCCAAATGAGAAGTAGGAATAAATAATCAACAAAGTTAACCATTAAAGTTGGAAATTAATTATCAACTATGAACATCAAAACTGAAGTTTCAGCTGTTCTTATATGTTGGCTAACTGGTGATAACAATGAGAAAAATGATTCTATTATTAAATAAAAATGGTATTATGATGCTACAGCATGCCCACCATATTTAATAAGTCACCAATTTCTGAAATTCAAATAAAATCGCTGCAACTACCACTATAAAAAAATCGAATCCCAGGAGTTAAGGCCAGTTTGTATTATTTTCAAACACTGGTTTCTTTTTGTCCATCAAACTCCATTTTTTGAGAGCGGGATTTTTCTATTTTTACCATACGTGTATTCTAGAGTGCACATAACTTAATTTCAATCATAATTTTGGTTTAAAAAACTCAACAACAATCGTTCAAACTAAAGATATAAATGAGTTGATCAATCGGTGAAAATATATATATAACTATTAAATTTAAGTTAAATAAAAGACTTAAATTAGATATAAAAATATTTAGATTTATATCGATATAAAAAGATATTACCTATATATATATATATATATATATATATATAATTTTATCTATTATATTTATTATAATATAATTAAGCTTATTTATTTAAATAATTTTAGTTTAAAAAACTCAACAATAATAGTTTAAATTAGAGATATAAATGAGTTGAGCGATCGGTAAAATATTTAATATTGATTCGTTAAATATTTGATATTGCTTATTTAAATAAATTACGTTTAAATTTTATAAACATAACTAGTAGCTTTTATATTTTTATTATAATCATGTGCGTATTTATCTTATTTTAATTTTAAAGATTTATATTTTAAATAAATGACCATAATTTTTTTTAGAAAAATATACTATCTTTATAATAAAAAAGTTTTATTTTTAACCTTAAGCCATTATTATAGATAAAATATTTTATTACCATTTTACTTTAGTTCATAAAAATATTCATTAAATACTAAATTAATAAAAAAAATCAAAATTTACAAAAAATTATAAACAAATTAATAAGTCAAATCAAAATTTTAAAATTATTAATAAATTAAAACTCAAACTTTAAATTTGATTCATTTAAATAAATGAATGAATCAAACTTAAACATTTTTTTCATAAGTCAAATAAACTTAAGTTATTCACACTCCTACTTCAAATAAAAACTTCTTTATTTTTATTTATCCTATTAACAAACACTTTATTTATAAAAATTGAATAGTCAACGTAAATATTATAGATCTACGTCGATAATATAATATATCATACTAATAATGTATTAATAATACAACGCATCGATAATATATATTAATAAAAATATTTTTTTACAATACATTGTATCATTAATATAAACTTACAATATTTACATTAATAATTAAATTGTATTAAACAAAACATATATTAGTGATTCGACGACGAATACGATAAATTGCTGACGCACAACCAGCAAGCGAACATTTTGGTCTGATAAACTATTTTGTGGTAAAATTGGTTACATAAAATGTTGAACGGAGATAAGATGTTTCATATATAAAATTCAACATTAAACGTGAATCATGTTATTGATATATAATATCTTCAGTGTCGTTAACTTGGTTTGTAGAATACTAAAATCCGTACCGAGAATATTCCCCCATGTGGTCCAAAGTTGTTTGTCTTCTTGGTTTCCTTCTGACGTGCACGTGGTCCTACCTCTCTACGTTGTTGTCATTTTGTTCTGCACTAAGAGTAATGCTCTAAAGTTTCGTATACAATAATAACAAATACTTAGATAAAGCCAACTCATAATTAGTAATTATATATGAGAAATCATTACGTTACTGCTGAGCAACATCAGTTCTTTATCCTTTTGTCACCAAGACAATCAAAATACCATTTTTTTCGTGTATTTTTATGCTTAAAATTCTATCTTAAAGGACATTACGTTATCAAAATTTAAAGAAGTCTATGGTAAGTCTCTTTCTATCACGAGTTTAAAATATTTATTTTACTTGCAATCTCCAAATATATTTGAACAGTGATAAAAAAAACTTGGTGTTAAAAATGAATAAAAATTGTATGATGTTAAATATAGATAATTATATCTTTTAATAACTTTTTTTTATAGAATGTAAGATTAATAAAATTTACTGTTAAACTATTTTATATTATCTTCGTGATTATGTATACTAAATTTTATATAATTTAAAATTTTATATATTTATTATCTAAAATTTGATATTTACTTATATTTTAAAAATATAATACTCATTAAAATAAAATAATTTATAAAAAAATTTATAAAGTTGATATACTTAATAATAATACTCAAACAAATAGTTAAATTGGTAAAGCTCATATTTTATAACAAGTTTTTAAGTTGTGTAAGTGTCTAAATTTGACACCTAATATTATTTATCTATTGATGTTTGTTTTAGAAAGCTATACATCCGTGTATACAAGAATGACAATAGAGCCTTAAAGAGTGTTTTTCATGAACAATGATGTATTTCAATTAGCTAATGAACTCAAATTCAAATAGAAGTGACTGAACTTTGTAAAATGATATTTTCATTTCAATACTCATATTGTTTAACAAAACCAAGTGACTTAACCACTAAAACTTCTTATAAATCCTTTATTGTGAGAAAGAGTAAGGGAAAGAATCACTTAATTAGTAGCTAGTTTTATCAAAAGACTAAACACTTTTAAAAAATCAAAATTCTTTTGTTGATGAAAACTCTTAACAATTAATCTTGTCTTATATTTATTTATATTGCTATCAACATTCTTTTTTATTTTAAAGATCCACACATTTGGGTTTGGAGAAGGTGTTACTAAGGATCAGGTATTATTACTAATTAATTCATAATACTCTTGATCCATAACTTGTTTCTAATGAGGTAATGTTAGAGCTTTCTTCATAGAGATAGCTTCAATTTCTTCACTTATATCTAAAATATGATTTGCAAGATAAATTTTGGGTTTGACAATTCTTAACTTGCTCTTATTACAATGGAATGAGAGTTTTGAGCCATGAATGTTGAAGTAGGAGCTACACACGTTAAATCAAAACCTTGACTATTATTGGCAATTTCAATTACATGTGAAAAGTGATTATTAGTGAAAGTCTCAATCATGTATTGAAGAGGTCCAAAAGAATAAGAAAAAATATTAGTAGGTCATAGTTGATCAACATCAATAATAGATAAAGGAGAATATATATTAGTGCATAAAATAACAAATATAGTAGGAACAATCACTAGTACAAAAAAGTCTTTTTACTTAAAAATGACTTTTAGTGTCAGTTAAGTGATGTAGTAAGTGGAGAAATTTTGCATCGGTTAACTAACCAATGTAGAAAATATAAATATTCTACATTAGTTCTTTAACTAACCAATGTAGAAAATGTTCTTCCTGTTGTTCATCAATGATATTAGTGTTCATCATATAGTTTAGTAATGTTCATTAATGTCAACAACGTTGATGTTCATCTTTTTTACACGTCAATATTTACTCAATATTTAATCTTCATTAAGTTTGTAAATGAAAAATATGCAGTGTTCATTGTCAATATTTATCAATATTCAGTGTTCAACCTCAATTCTATTCGACATACAGTGTTTGTTGTCAATATTTTGTCGATCTTTGTTGAGTCTATAAATGAAAATATACAATGTTTGCCAATGAAAAATATTTAATGTTAAAAAATATACAATGTTTGTCAATGAAAAGAAAATATATAATGGAGTAAAATAAAATCATTGATATACCTGATAAGAGTTCATGTTCGTTACTAGCATAAGAAAACATAGAATAAAGCTAAAATCCTAACAAAAGCTTGAGAATGAAAGTAAGAATTTGTGTTCATTGACTCCAAGTTATGTTATTTCACTAGCACGCGCCTTTGAAATATTTCATTTTGAATTCATTATACATCAGTTCTAGAAATAATCAATGTAAAAAATATATTTTATATCAATTGTTTTTAGAATCAATGTAGAAAATACTTTTTACATCAGTTGTTCTTGAAACTGATGTAAAAAGTACTAGTGTGCGAAAAGGAATTATTTTCATTTTGAATTGATTCTACATTGGTTTCAGAAATAATCGATGTAAAAATTACTTTCTACATCAGTTCAAAAAATAATTGGTGTAAAAGTTATTTTTACATTGGTTAAATTGAGTTTTACAATTTTAGTCGTAAACTTTGAATATGCATAACTTTTAACACATAACTCTGATTTATGCATATTATATATTTATTTTATATAACTACTCAAAATCTATCCAACCCAAACACTATAAGGGAGTTTGCATAGTTTTTTCTCAACATTCTAGCGTTTTCTCAATTTTTCTAATTTTTTCTCTACTCTCTACATCAATTATGAGATGATAAAAAGTTAATGTTATTTTTAAAAATGTCACCACACTTTTTATTAAATTGGTTACTTATTAACCAATGTAAAAGCCTATTGTAGAAAGCTTTTTTTGTATTGGAAAATGTTATCATTAGAAGTAGCAAGACATGAGGAATTAATTAGAAAACTTGGATTAGTACAAAAAGGAATAATATTTCATCAAATTAAACATGTCTTGAAACATAAACCTTTCCATTTGGGGCAAGATAAAAATAGCCTTTATAACATGAACTATAATTAAGAAAAATATATTGCTCAAATCTAATTTTATTTTTTATTTATTTTATCATCGAAGATATGGGTAAACAACACACCCAAATATTCTTAAATCTGAATTGTTAGGTACTTGACATGTTAATTATTTAAGAGGACAGAGGTTATTTAAAGTTTTACTAGGTAATTTATTTACGAGATATACTACTATTTGAAAAGCTTCACTTCAAAATTTTAAATACATCTAATAAACTATTATTCTCTCATTTTATTTATGAGATTTTAATTCTATTTTTACTAGAATTATCATTTTATTTCTTGAATTTGCTAAATTTCTCTTGGTTTTATTATAGAAAGTGGTGAAAATGAAACTTAATTAAATAAATCAAGTCATGAAACATAT